CAGCCAACACATCTGGGCGGCCCAATGGGCCGCCAGCCAACCTAGATCTAGCCCATCAATTGACCAACACATCTGGGCGGCCCAATGGGCCGCCAGCCAACCTAGATCTAGCCCATCAATTGACCGCCAGCCAACCTATATGTAAACCCTGTATATTTTTCAAAGGGTTGAGCTGAATCAAGCTGAAGAAACAACCATTGAACATCAGTTGCCATTGAAGTTCAAAGAACAAGAGCAGTTTTGGTAGACATGACCAGCCTGTGCGCAGAACATGTTCGGATGAGCGTGGCCAACATCATGGTTCTCATGCCTTGGTTTGAGAAAGATGCAGACTTCCAGCTTGAGGTGTTGAGGGAGTGTTTGCTATGGCTGCGCTTCATGTGGTCTGACACGAAGGCACGTGGATCTGCAAACGAACACTTAGTTTTTCTCACAGCTGCCTGCCCATCTCAAGACGAAAATTTAGTTTTTCTAATTTTTTGGTTCTTTTAAAAAAACTTGTTTGAGACTATACTTTTGGTCGTCCAGGAACTTACAGAACTTATAAGTTAGTTACAAGTAATTTATACAACTTACGGTTATAATTAAAAAACTAATAAAACCTAAGCTCCCTAAGTACTACTTACAAGTTGCTTAAGTCCTATAAGTGTCTTAACTAAGTTGCAAGTGCCACAAGTAAAAACGAACCACCAAGTATGAGCACTTGGACGAAGACATGGAAAGTAGATCTCAGTGTGCCGGCTCTTTCTACCGCGAGTTTGAAAGTCGGTGCTGCATCATGTTGATGAAAACCTTGCCGGAGGAAGTGAAGAGGCCTGTCCTGGAATACTCTTCCAGCCAAGGTCACAAGTCAAAAGTTGTTGGTGTCATTGCTTGAAGTTTTGAATCCTGGCGGTAAGGAGGAAGTCAAGTCTCTACAGCAATGGGTGCGCTCACCGCCAACCTCACAGACTTTTGACGAGGCTTTCAAGGTGCTACGCCGGTGGCAGCTAGCAGTGTCACGTCTTTCAACGCTCGGCCTGCCGCCGCTTTCTGCCCATGAAAAGCTGGGCGCATTGGATTCAATCCTCCAAAAGTTGGAAAAGAAGTCTGAGCCTTTGAGATTCAAGCTGCAGGCTCTTAGAATGGCGCCTGAAATCCGCAGACCCAAAGATGCGGCTGTCCAACAGATGCTTTCGCAAGTGGAGGAAGAAGTCCGTATTCTGCAAGCAGATGAGAGGACCAAGTTCAACCGGCAAGGCTTTGTTGAAACAGTTTTTCGAGCAGAAGTAAAGCAAGCTTCCAGACCAGTCCCTACCAAGAATTCATGTCAGTTCTTTGCGCAGGGGCATTGCAAGAAGGGGGACCAGTGTACTTTCCCACACCTCTCTCCTTGTAGATTCTTTGCCCTGGGTCACTGCAAGCAGGAGATGGCTGTCGGTACCCGCACACCAAGGGTACTTCTGGGGCTCCAAGGGCTCCCCCAAAGGCGCATAGTGCCAAGGCAGGACCAAAAAGGCCTGAAGCCAAGTCCAAGGCTAAAGCTGCAGCAGCGGAAGGCTCTGTGATCGATGATGGGCAGGCTCGAGCATCTTCAGTTCGCTCCCTAGCTATGGCAGCATCTACTCCACCTGCGCCTGTGGCAAACCACGCCACTTCAGGCGATGAGCGAATGGTTCTCATTGATTCGGGAGCTAATGAAGTTATCCGCCCTTTTCGCCCAGAACTGGAGAAACAACTGCAGAAGTTGTCAGCCATACAAGTGGCCCTTGCAAGTGGTGAAGCGGTTTCAGCATACAGAACTAGAGATGGTGAATTAATTCTCCCTGTCGCAGCCGGTGCATCAGCAGAATGGATTGCGCCGTTAGAGCGGCTCACCGTGGGTTTAAATTGCATCTTCTCCTGGAGGGGGGCAGATGGCAACCCAACGTTGCATGTCCCTCAAGAAAATGGCGCTCTCCAACCAATTCAGGTGATCTTGAAGAATCGCCTTCCATACATCTCCTGGGCAGATTTCCAGCCTTTGAGGAGGAGGCTGGCAAAACTGTGGCAAGGCAAGCCTCTCTTGCATGCCAGGCCATTCCTTCAGCTGTGCACTCAGGTCCTTTGCCGAGCTCTTCTTCGTCAGAGCAGAGGGGCTTGCACCCTACTGGTTCAGTCGGTCGGGGACTTGATGTGAACAGCTCTGGCCAGCCAGACCTCCAGAATGAAAAGAACGAAGACGATTGCAAGGCCACTCGTCCAGCTGCGCGCCCAGGTCCTTTGCCGAGCTCTTCGTCGCCAGAGCAGGGGGCTTTGCGCCCTACTGTTTCAACCGGTCGGGGGCCTGAGGTGAACAGCTATGATCTGAATGAAAAGAATGAACACATATTTGAGATGGAAACGCTGCACACGCTGGGAAAGAAGCTGATGGCTTTGGGTTTCGGGCCTCCTCCTGAACCAAAGCCGGCTGACCACGAAGTCTTTCATTGCAATTCTTGCAGGGCTGCTGTTTCTAGGGTCATTGACCTTGAAGATGAAGATGTTCCAGTTGAAGTGGCAGGGGGTTCTTCTGAACTTTGCCCCGAGAAGGCGGCTTTGAAGAACTTGCAAGACCGCTGTCAACAAGGTCTTTATGACCGACAGTGCGAAACTTGTTTGAAGTCCAAGGGTTACAGGAGACCGCATCGGAAGCTAGCAGCAGAGAGCATTTCAAACGGCGTGTTGTCAATGGATCTGTCTGGTCCACATCCAACAAGCCTTGATGGTCACAAGTACACGCTTGTCACAGCTCTCCGACTTGCAAATGGTACGGCGCTCCCTTTTGTCAGAACGTTGCCAAACAAGGAGTCTTCAACCGTTCTTTCAGCTCTGCTTCAAGTCATGGCTCAGATCTCTTCAATGACTGGAGGTATAGCTGTGTACTTTCGAGCGCATTCAGATTGCGGTGGCGAGTTCACTGCAACCAAGGTCGTTGAACAAATTCATGCATTGGGACTCTGGAAAACAACCACCGCAGCTCACTCTCCTGAATCCAATGGTGTAGCTGAGCGAATGGTGCAACGCGTCAAGGATGATGCTACAAGATGCCTCCTACATAGCGAGTTGCCGTTGCAATTTTGGACGTTTGCGGCCAGGCACAGCACCTTTGCGGCTCGGCAGCGGGCCCTTGGCCTGTCAATTCCTGAGTCTGTGCCCAAGGTAGGGCAGAAGGTCCTTGTCAGAAAAGTAAATGCTGACTCCTTCTCAAGCCGATTGAATGAAGCAGTCTTCTTATGCGAAGATGAAACAGTGTCAAGACCCGAATGCCAATCATTTCGCCATCCACTGACAAGATTTGGCGACTTGAGAGCAGAGAGGAACAGCGGGTCTGGGTGTCCAACCAGGGAGATCTTCAGTGGGAAGAAGCAGCTGAATGGAAGGAACAAATGACTTTCGAAGAACGAACTGAAGGACCGGGAACGGCTAAGGAAGATCTTTTGGAACTGGTCAAGAAGCAGATGAGCAGCACCGAGCCATCTTGGGATGACTTTTGCAAGTTTGGCCATGGCTACCTGCTATCTCTTGACCACCGCAGCACAAAGCCCACGTGCAAGGCTGTGAAACCAACGGTGTCTCAAGAGACCGCGAAGAACAGATATACTTCCTTTTGAAATGGAGGAAGAAATGAATAGAACAGAAGCTGATACCAGAGAGCTGATGGCATCAGCTGAATCAGTTCCGCAGACAGTTCTCTGGAGTGATGACATCTCTGAGGAGGAGAGGGCAAAGTGGCTCCATGGTCTGCAAACAGAAATAGATACCATGACAACGGGAAAGCAAGTTCTTCGCGAAGTCACCCGCGCAGAAGCTCGAGACATTTGGGAACTGAGCTCTGTGACAGAATTGCCAACGCCAGTGCCGAGCAAATTGGTCCTGACTCGAAAGCCTGATGTTGCTGCTGCGCCGTTTGAAACATCAGCAGCTGCAGCTTGCAAAACAGCTCTTGACTCTTGGAAGGCACGAGTGCGTTTGGTAGCCTGCGGAAATTTCCAAGAGGACACTCAAGCGCACATGCTTGAAAACTCTTCGGCCAACCCTTCTCAAGAGCTCTTGAGGCTCTTGTTGTCTATGCTGGCTCCCCATCCAGACTGGTCTGCCCTGGTACTAGACATTTCCTGCGCATTTCTCAATGCATCGCTTGACAATGAGAGAGTCCTGATTCGACCTCCACCTGCATTAGTCAAACTGGGCCTTGTTTCGCCACATGTACTCTGGATGGCTTTGCGTGCAATTTATGGCTTGCGCAAGGCTCCGAAGCTGTGGGAAGAAGAAAGAAACAACACGCTTGATCACCGCGTCCTCAAGCAGACACCTGACTCAAAGTTGGGTGATGTGACTATGCAGCCTTTAGAATCAGGAGCTTGGCTCTTGCAGTGCGGTGGTGCTTGCGTTGGTCTCTTCAGCGGATTGCCGGTCCTGTGCTGCGGGACGTGGGGCCACGGGACGTCAGGGACGTCAGGGACGTGAGGGACGTGAGGGACGGGACGTGGGGCCACGCAACGTCAAAAAACGTCAGGGACGTGAGGGACGTGAGGGACGTGAGGGACGGGACGTGGAAGGACGGGACGTCCGGGACGTGAGGGACGTGAAGGTCTGTGTGAAAACATGTAGGTGCAAACAGTGCCCTTCCTATGGCACAGCTTGGGCACATCGTAAACTCACTGCAAAAAGAAAGCATCCTTTTTTCAAGAAGCCGTCAGTCATCTTTAAGAGACTCTGTCTCTGGAGCCTTTCTCTTCTTGCCACTTTCTTTGTCCAGGGCTTCGCCCCATTGCCGTAAGGATACTTGACAGCACTGCACCAACATATTATGGAACGCAACTCGTTCCTGCGGATCGGACGGTGGCTGCGAGAAGTGAACAGTGATCCTTGCTGAATCATTCTTGATGATTTTGCCAATGGGATAAAGTTTGAGGGCCTCTTCAACCACCCTCTCCCATGTCGCCTGAGGGACAGAAATCTTGCGCCTCTTCTCATTGCCTGCTTCATCGGTGTAAGTGTCATTCTTGCGGAGGCTCATGCAAGTCTGGGAAGGTAACAGTCGATTTTCCTCTAAGCACGGTCCTCCTCATGATCTCCCGATCGCTAAGGAAACTCACTGGTATCTGCACTGTCTCATCCCCGGGACCATAGCCAAGAGCAAGGGCCTTTTCCAAAGCCTTTCCCTGCTTCAGTTCCAAAGCCTTGGTCGAAGCTGACATATCCAACTCCGGCTTGCCTTCCTCTTGTGTGGCAGGAAAAGCAGCCATACCAGGAGGAAGTTCAACACCTTCACGAACCTTCGCTAAGAGTTCAGCAGGAGCAGGCTTTACCTTGCATGGTTTGGTGCCATCGTCTTCAAGCTTCGCCCACAAACCGCGAATCTTGTGAAGAATTTGTAGCAACCGCCATGCCCGTAGAACGTGTTCTTTGCCAATCACCTCCGCCAGTGACGGAGGGTTTCGACAGAAAAAATGAAGTTTGGTATGTCGCTTGGCACTTTTAAATTCGGAAAGCTGTATAGACATCTTTTGGCAGCATGCTGTTATTTATGTTCCTATCGGCGCTGCGCTTCATGAAAGGCTCAACGGAGGGTGTGTGGAGAAAGGGGGTCAGCCAAAATCGCTTATACGCAGTTAGTGCGTCAAAAATTCCATGTAGGAAGTTCTACGAATAAGGTGTCTGGGATTTTGTTGCAGTCAGGTTTCCTATTGGACCACCAGTCCACGAAACGTCCACGAAGAGCCCCGGGCTCCACGAATGTCCCGCACCTTCCACGATGTAGTAGAATAGGTTATTGCAAGATCTTTTTTGCGCACTACCCTTCCGTTGCGTTGGCCACACTTTGCGCTAAGAATCGCGGGGCAGGAAACCCCCACCCCCCCTCAACATCTCTGCGATGAAGAGCCATTCCGGTGAAGTGTCGCGGGAAAAATAACTCCCCACACCTTCTCCCCCCAGCAAGGGAGCAGCGCTCCCTGGCGTCAGTTTATAGACTTCCAACCGTTTGAAATGAGGAGTGAGTGGTATAATGTAGAGGAAAAGAACAATCGGATGAGCTGCAGACATATACGGTCATATCATATCTACACATAGATTTTCGACACAGACACACTTATGCACACACACACACTTGCTGAAGAAAGCAAAAGGGAAAAACATCTGTGCTCAGCAGGCGTCCGCCTTCATAGCATCTTCTTCGGCAGCGCCCAAGAATGTATCGAAGATTCGCATCAGGCCACTGAGCATGCCAAGATGCCACGGACCAATCGACATGCGGGTAGCCAAGCTGTCACTTCCCACCTGCGCGGGGGCAGCAACGGCTGTGTTATGTGTAAACTTTGCAGTGTGTGACGTGTGTGCGCCACCTAAGTGGTTGGTGTGGCTTTGGAAGAGGGAGCGTCATTTTCAGTTCGAAAAATATAATATACAAAAGTTGGTGATGTCTTGCGCTGCGAACTCACTATGGATTTGGGGACGTCGCCTTCAGCGCGCCTGGGCAGCGGCGTTGGCCTTTACGTTGAGCAAAGTTTGGTAGCCCAGAAAGGCTGCCCTGCCAGGAGCGTCGAACTGCAGCTTCTGATGTGGCTCTTGGAACTGTTCCAGGACACGCTGCGTGCATTCACGCACAGACCATTTCTCGACAATCTGCCGGGAAGGAATGCGAACCAAAGCAGTGCCTTCAGCAGAGTAACGAAAGCGAGATGTCACTCCGTCTGGCAGCGTGAAAACATATTCGTCTTCGGCACCGTCGGCTGTGTCAAAACCTGGCCGCGTATGAGGCTGGACCACGTTTGCTGGAAAGCAGAAGTTAAAAGTATGAATGCGATTTCGCAGGTTTGCCTCTTCACAAGTTGATGCGGGAGCACCCTCGGAGCTGTGAAAAACCAGATGCGGTCGTGCGGCGCAGCCACTGTCGAGCCAGTCTCCCCTTCCAACATCGAAATTGCCATGCTGGGGTGGCAGTTGCCAACCATGGCGAAACTGACTGTATCAGCGCCGACTCCACCATAGGCGCCGGCTGTCCGCGTGATCTTGGAAGACCCTCCTGTCTGCAAGAAGCGATTCAGCAAGCTAGTGTGAGCATTGACACTGGTCTTGCTCTTGGAATCCCCATCTATCAGGCCAAAGGATAGGAAGGATGGGTAAACTTCATCCAAGTTTGCTAATCGTCCAAAGGAGCCTGCCTTGTAGGAACGCCCCTTCCCTTTTCGGAATGCGTAGTCGCTGCTCACCGCCTCAAAGAAGGCCTGGGCAAGAATGAGCGTCGGAATGAAACATGAAGAACACGACTAAATGTTTGCACTTCTGGGTTGACATCAAATTATTCTACGTTGCCATGAGCCTGCGTAGATTATGCGAGCTGCGGCGTGCGATTGAAACAACGCTGCATACAAACGGATCCGAAATAAGTGAATTCCCGCGCCTCCGGTGTAAAAACCGTCTAGCACCGTCGAGGGCCAAGGCCCTGCCAAAATCTCCTCAAGTTCGTTCTCCGGCATAGTCTTGAGAAAAGGCATCCATGCGAAGACCCATTGACCGCACAAGCGAGGTTGTTTGCGACTTCCGAGACTGCGGCGGGTTGACTAACACAACCGCCACAGTGAGCGGTGAAGCTTCAGTCCAAATCTGGACTGTGGCTCCGTTGGCCAAGGCAGCCATGGTTGCAAGACATGTGACTCCTACACGCAAAGGATGTAGGCAGCGAACAGCTGCGGTTTCCTCAAGGAACGAAGCGCCGACATCTCCAAACAAATCCGGCAGGATGCATTCATCCTGCACAACTTTCCACGCAAGCTCTAATTTCAGCCCTGCCATGCTGCTGCGACATGAAAAAATTAGAGAAGCCAAGACAGGAGCGCACACCGAATGAAATTCACGCTTTGACAGCTTGCGTTAGAGTACTCTTTGAAATTGTTTCAATGAACTGACATGTACAGGGACAAGCGCTCACAAATTAAGGAGAAGGTCCTTGAGGCGTGCATTGCGGTCGGTGCCGACAGGCACGGCACGGGCACGGCGCCCAGGTAGCAAGATAGTGAAACAACTTTACGTTAGTCCATCCTCCTGGTTCTCAAGAGAGAATCGAACATTGGTTTTTTTAGAATGTAGGATATTCTTACTTTAGATGCTCCAAATAGGAATCAAGCTACCGCTTGCTTTTTTCTCCGAGGGGGCCACGCTCCTCTTGCACTCAGTGGGAACGGATCTCGGCCGTGAGTGACGTGGCCGCACCGTTTTCCTCCACTGAGATGAATCTTGATTGCGGGCACGGCGCTCAAGTAGCAGAAAAGACTTGCGTTGGTCCGCCCTCCTGGCTCTCATGATTCGAAAAGAGAATTAAACATTGGTTCAGTGGGAATAATTGGGACCTAAATACCGGCCGAGAATTTCTTTACACGATGCCCTCGGCTTGCTCGATTGTAAGTGCAGGAAAGGTAGAACAGTTCCATCAAGTTCCCGACCGCCTGCTCTAAGCGATCGTTCACTCGCAAGTGGACAAGGGTGGCCCATGAATGGAATTTGAAACGAAGTGAGTGGCGTAGTGAAGCAAATCAATGATGCAGTCACCGTCTTGCAGAGATCTTTTTAAACTTCGAAAAGCTTTCGCAAGTCAAGCCGCGGGGATCTACAGGGCACTACGCCAGCTGCTTCTGCATCCAAGCATTTTTTATTAGCAGCAATTCGTGAACGACAAAATGAGACGTCTGCGCCGACATGTGGCGATACGAAGGTTTGTACAAGCTGAACCAAGAAAAGAGCAGCTCACATGCGCTGGAATTATGCCCCTGGATGCGGGACTGATTTTCTGGCACAGAGGGACTGCAATGCGATTGGCACCAAGCATCACAATGCGTCCGCGAATGGAACTTGTCAATGATGTAATGCATTTGAGGGTATGTGAGTGCAGGGTAGGAGGAAACCCACCGGTCCATGAAGCGCCTCAAGTGGCACGCATCATCGTGGAGAATTGTGTTCAAAGATGGATACCGCTCTTTCAATTGCGCCACGAAGGCAGCACGCTGTGTCAAAGATTCACCTCCGAGGAATTCCATGCAATGCAACACCCTACCGTCGCCCCCACAGGCCAGGAGCCAGCCACCAGTGCGCCGATTTAGGCGACGCTTCATCTTCACAGTGCGACACGAAACAAAATCTGCTGCTTGCACGCTGTCCAAGTCCGAGCCATTCTTGTCTGTGGCACGTTTGGAGTGCAAGTGCACCTGGTCCCGTAGCCAATCAATCAGCGGCCACTCACTGACGCACGCAGTGGAAGGAACGCACCGCAGCAACTCTGTGGGTTCAGTGTGTAGACAGCGCTTCTTGATCACAGCAACCCCACAGTCACGCTTGAAGGGCCTCTGGTGATCGCAACAAAAAGCTGATTTCCTTTTTGGTGTGCGAGAACAATCCTGCAGATATTTCAGCTTTGTTCCTGGAACGGATGCAATGCTGGTAAACATCTCCGCACAGCAGCGGCGGCTCAGTTTCTGGTTGCCATCCACCACAGCCACCTGTATATCAGGAGCACCCTGCCGAAACTCTTCTGCGACCAGCGCGTCATACCGCTCTCTGCAGCCAGCAAGCACATCAGCGAAGCTGTCGCTCAAAGGGTAGGGAGCGTCACTGAGTTGAGGCCAACGGCGCAGGAGCTGGAGCTTCATCCAAGCGCTTGCTACAAGCTCATGCCCATGCGAAAGCCCATGGTCCGTAAAGGCGTGCACGTAACTTTCACCTAGAAAGGTTGCATGATGGTGCAGCATACGCTTGCTGAACTGCGCGTGCCATTCCCAAGTAACTCCAAAAGCCGGGGACAACATCGCTACATCTGGTCGGACAGACCCATCTAACCAAGTGTAACATCCCCTCGAATCTGCTTGAAAATTGGCCCACACCACTTTGTTTTGAGCTGCGCATTTCCTTCTCTGGCATCGCAAGGGCACATGCCGCGGACCGATCAGGCCAGAGCATGTCAAAATACGGCAATCTCTGGGCGTAGCTGCAGTCATGTTGCAGTGGCAGATGGGACAGCCAAGCTTGTGCAACACTTCAATGGTTATTCCGTCGCTACTGGCTAGAGTTGCCGCCACATTTTCCACAACCGGGTCTGGTAGGAGAGCTGCAGGATCAGCATCACGCATGGCACGCGCCACATCTGTGGCAGCAAAGGAAAGCATACCCAAAGTCTTGTCAGCCTCTTGCATTTCAGAATGGAATCATGTTTGCTCACAACCTCTCGGCTTGAGAATTTGAAGGATGAGCTGCGTAACAAAATATGTGTCCTTGATGGGCGCTGCGGGTAAGTCACGAAATTTGAGCTGGAAACTGCTGGAACAAACGGGCGCCTGGCATATTGCGGCATGTGTCTTCAATGGATCAATGCACATCCAAACACTACAGCCAAATTCTTGAAGCTGTACAGGTCGCAAGCTTTACAAGAGAAAAGAACGTAGGATATTCTTACTTTAGACGCTCCAAATAGGAATCAAGCCTACCGCTTGCTTTTTTCTCCGAGGGGGCCACGCTCCTCTTGCACTCAGCGGGAACGGATCTCGACCGTGAGCGACGTGGCCGTACCGAATTTCCTGATTGCACACAAGCCGTACAAACGGGCTTCTACGGGCATGGCGATCAAGTAGCAAGATGGTGAAAAGACTTGTGTTGGTCCGCTCTCCTGGCTCTCATACTTCGCAGAGAGAATTTGACATATTGGTTCTGGGTGGGAAGAACTGGGATTTAAATACCGGCTGATATCTTCGGTTTGCTTGACTGTATGTACAGGAAAGACACAGCGGCGCAACAGTCCCGTCCAGTTCCCGACCGCCAGCTCGACTATCGTGGACTCTCCAGTGGACAACGGTGGCCCACGAATGGAAGTTGAAATGAAGTGAGTGGCATAGTGACGCAAAACAAAATGCGCATGAGCTGCAATCACAGCCTTGCATTGACTAAGCCATGTTTGCGCACAAACCCTCGGCTCGAGAGATTTGAAGGATGCGCTCAGTGATGAACTCAATAACAAAATGTTGTGTCCTTGATTGGTTGCAACAAAAAACTGTATAGTACTAGTAGTCGCAGAAGTAGTAACAGCAGCGAAGGCAGAGACATCAGGGGGGGCCCGCGAAGGACGTGGGACTCCAGAGAAGGCGCGTGAGGCATACCGCTCATACTAGGGAGACAGCAGGACAGGGACACGAGGGACGTCAGGGACGCGAGGGACGTCAGGGACGCGAGGGACGTCAGGGACGTGAGGGACGTCAGGGACGTCAGGGACGCGAGGGACGTCAGGGACGGGACGTGAGGGATGTCCTGCAGCGTGGGTGTGGCAATTGTGTCTCTTCATGATGTATGTGGATGATGGATTGCTTGTGGGTCCATCTGAGATACTGACCCGCCTGGGACTCGAATTGAAGGCTCTTTGGGACCTGAAGTACCAAGGTTTTTTGAGCAGCTTAAACCTCGCAGATGGCTCCAGCGTTGTTCTCGGGAGGGAAACTGTTCCTGTTCACAGAGAATTGAGCTTCCTTGGGATGAAAATTCGGCGACGCGCTGACCAAAGCATTTTGCTCCACCAGACACCATGGTTGGTACAGGAGCTCAACAAAAGAGGCTGGTTGGCCATCACTTCCAAACATTCCTGAGGGCACAGTGGAACCTATGGTCAGAGATGACCAATATGCCGAAGCCTTAAAGAAGGTGCAAAGTGAAATTGGCTGTCTGCAATGGACTGCTCTCCGCAGCCGTCCAGACATTGCAGCCACCGTCGGTTCAGCTGCATGTATGTCAACACTGCGCCCTGGCCTTGTTTCCAAACTTTGTCAAGGTATTTGGCGCTACCTGAGCGCCACTCGCAACCATGGCGTGCTTTTTGTTCACTTCCTGATGGCCCTCACCTAGATGATACGCTGTGGTGCTACGGGGATGCAAGTCTGGCTCCGGGGGCAAGTCGCAGTCGCACAGGTGTAATCATCCTGTGGGGAGACCACCTTATCTCTTGGAAGTCACAACGGCAAGCTCTTACTGCTTGGAGCGCTTTTGAAGCTGAGGTTGATGCCAGTGCCACAACATGCCAAACACTCAAAATCTTGCTAGAGCAAGTGGTGAGCGCTCCAGTAAGAATGGTTTTAGGAAGTGACAATGCAGCTTGCGTCGTCAACTGCGTGAAAGGTTCAAGTTCCACGGTGCCACTTTGGAATGAGATGCGCCTACATTAGAGATCAGGCCAAACGTGAAGGGTTTGAGATTGAACATGTGGCTGGTACACAGATTCCTGCCGATGCGCTGACAAAAGTATTGCCACGATGTAGGCTGGAAGATTCGCGACAGAAGCTCAAAGTGCTGGCAGCTGAATGAAGGCAAAATGGATGACTTTCTTATTACATCCTTTTGAGGAGGAGTGTTTCCGACTCATTGCTTGTGCTGCCAGGTGCGATCTTTTAGCTTGAAGTTTGGTGATGATTTCAACCAAAGCATGGACAGTTGATGACCTTTGCAACCAGAGCCTGGAACATGTGACCTTGCCAAAAAATTTTGCTCAAGATGTGTGCATTTTGCGCGTAAAAGGTGCGCGGTTTTGCTTTGCATTCATGATTTTCAACCTGTGCTGAACGCACAAATCGAGAAGTGAATCCTAAGAAGGACACAGCACATATCGAGAAGTGTCCAAGAAATAGTTTGAGAGATTCAAGATAATTTGCTTTGAAAGGAGATTTGATTTGACGTGATTTGTGAAAGTGAGAGCAAGTGAGAACTGGAAAGAGCAAGAAACATACATACACCGATTGAAAATGCCTTTGGAACAGCCAAGTGACTATCCGAAAGCGGCATTGCAAGCACACAACTCTCTCTCTGCTCCGACATTTCTCTCCCGTTCCAGACACACCAGAATCACAGAATTATGGCATGTTGAAGAGAAAAGGAAACAGTTGCATTGAACAATGCAGAGTCCAAGAAGTTTCAAGAATGTGATGTTGCTATATCAAACACATTGTATTTGTTCTACCCGTTTTTCTACAAAATCATGCAACCACAAAAACCTGATCCACATGATTCCAAAGACTTTCCCTATTTTGTTAGCACATGTACCTCCACAGACTCTACAAAAACATGCTTCTACTACAAAATCACGTGCTCTCTACAAGAAAAAACACATCTCCACGCGTCTACATTGAACATAGATGATACCTCTTTACTATCATGCAGCGCCTCTACAAATTTAGGATCGTTTACTAAATCAAATTCTACGATGGACATGCTGCAGTCACTCCAAGGATTCTTCTGTAGAACATTGAGAAATGCCATGCCCATACCACCTATGATCTGTATAAACAAATCACTTTGTACAGACCCCAGGTGGCATGAAAACGTAGAGGAAAGTGGAGAGGATACTTTATATATTATATAACTGTTTCTTGGGCGGCATTGTCCTTCATTTGGGACCTGCATTGAGAACCTTCAGGAGTTTAATTCTGAACTTGAAGGGGGGTCTCCACTTTCAACCTTTCAAAGGTGTTCAGAATAACTGGTCCTGGCAGGTTAAACTTCAAAGGACCTCCTTCAATTCGTCCATGCGCTGAGCAATGCCATCCAGCTTTGACTGAACGGAGGCCTCGGTTTTTTCAACCGTGCTGTGGCAACCAAACGGTGCAGCCTTGGATGGGTGCCTTGGACGGGCTTGCGATGCTTGCGCCTGCTTTCCTGCAGACTCCAGGCCTTCGCCTTCAAAATTGAATTACTTGCCCTACCGAGGAAGTACTGCGTCTCTCCTCGATATCTTCTCTGACCTTGCAAGAACATTCTCACGAGCTGAGCCAGCAGAGGCAATCTGAGTCATTGGCGGCTCCCCTGCTTGGTCCGAGGCCTCAGAACGCAATCTCGAGCTTGACACATTCCCGAGCCCCAAGCAACTAAATTTCTAAACTCTAAACTACGCAATATGCATGCATCAAACTGCGCTCAATTAAAACCAAGGCTTCAAAATGCACCATTGGCTTCTTCCAGCCTCCAACGGCAACACACACTTGTATAAATTAAGCTGCAGCTCTGGCAAGGTCACGACAGGGATCACAAGAAATCTTGTGGGTGTAAAACGAGCTGCAAGGAATCTTCAGGCCTGTGATGTCTTTAGGACTCTAGGAACTATACCTACAGGACCTATAACACCTGCCTGGATGGTGGACAAAAGGCAGGATGTATCAAAGCATGGTGTCCATCAAAGCCTCAAACTCCATGCTGCCAAGGGCTCAGCCACAAAAATAACTGAGTTCCCATCGTGACACACTTCAGGGGCCGGGACTAAGCTTCAACAATCTTGTGCAAAAGAAACATGGCTGTCCTGTGCAATCTGTAAAATGTATTTTGTGATCAAGTTCTGTCACGTGAACCGTGCGGCACAGGGTCTCACTCCCACCACGACTAACAACATGCGATTGTCGCCTTTCATTGCCTCATTTCGTGTTTGACAGTTCACTGAGCCGAAACGGACCGAAACGGGCCGAAACGCAATACTTACAAAGGAATAAGGAATGCCAACGTGGAAAAAATTGTTTTTGGAGTCTGACCTTGTTCTTTGCACGGCCAAACCATTTGCCAAAACCCCCTGTCGGAACAGCAAGAAGACTATCAGCATCGGGCCAAACAAACACCTGTACGTGTACAGTGTACTGTGCAAGTTGTAATTGCGAAGCATGTTCCCCCTCCCCTGGAACAACCTGCACACACACGTCACCAGTGCAAGAACCATGTGCCCTTCATCAACAAGAGCCGGATAAGAGCTGAAGAAGTGACCATGGTCGGTGAATCACAGGGACCAGCGCACACGCACGCTCGAGATATTGCGTACTGAAATCGAATGCCACATGCCACACGCCCACCTAAGGTATGAAAGCCTAAGAGTCCAAGGGTAAGGTAAGTAGTGCGGCCAGACCATGAACACCTCCAAAATCCCAACGATCACGAAGTCGGCGACAGGGTGACGACGACCGCTCGCATCTGCAGCACGCAGTAGCCCTTTATGGAAGGTTGGAGCAAAAGCTTGGACAACAGTTCAACAAAGCAGGTACACCAGGCTGATCAGACCTGGCTACCGCCATCACCCATTGCTTCGCTTGCATGCGTTTGCGCGATGGCCGCATGCCCCCCGCACACGCTGGCAAGAGCTCTATCAGTTTGAGAATTCCCGCAAGCTAGCTGCTGCATTGGCACT